CTACCGCACCTATATCCGGATATAAGTGCACCCCTTGTGTAAAAATCACATATAGGTGCACCAAAATTTATTTGTCAAAATTATATATAAAAAGTTAACAAGTTAATGAGTAAATTATACATTCATTAATAATGAAAGCAAACACATAAATATTTCATGTATCTGATCAATTTAATTATTCGAATTGATGTATGACTTGAAGACATGTCCATTACTTGAGACATTTTACACGAATCTACTTAACCTTTATAAAACTCGTGAAGTTAAAAAAAATGCACATATATTTTAAACATTTAGACGCACTTTAGTGTTAAAAGTCTAATTACACATCTTATGATTTTTATTTTAATGAATCTGTAGACTTCAACTAAAATGTAAAAATTGCCTAAAAAACTACCGCACCTATATCCGGATATAGGTGCACCCCTTGTGTAAAAACTCAGATATAAGTGCATGCACCTATATGCGGCGTAATACGGTAATTGTTAATTAGTTTGTATTGTAAAATGTTTGCCAGTTTCTTATAAAGAGTGCTAATTCTGCCTAAATTATCGTACATTATATTTTCAATAATGAGTAGCGTTGACAACCATACAGGACTTTCACAGAACACATTAAAACATTTTATAGAAGTAAATTGATCATAATACAAAGTTATATAAGTTATAATGTAGATTGGTATTTGCAACATGTAAAATGGGACGACATTTAACGCACGGGAGGCAGACCCTGATTTTCAACCGGAGTCTTCTGGCAACACTAATTGACTGTCCTTTAGTAAATCGTAAAATCTATTGATTCATATTAGAACTTTCCAGGAACTATAAAATAACAATAATTTAAGAATGATGCTATAAATACTGTGTACATTTAAATGGTATTTTATTATCATTTGTTTAAATTTACAAAACAGGACTCATAAATAATATTTCATTTATCAGTTAAAGTTTGATTTAAACGCAATTTTAATTGGATATTCATAGACAGTGTTGTTAATAATTTTAATCATTACATAATAAGCGTATTGTTCTGTAATGAATAAACTTTAAATTAAAAATTTATAGAATTAATTAAATCGCTTCACTATTACAACACAACTCTAGTGTTTCGCGCAATTAAATTGTATGGCAAACAATGTGAACGATGTGTTCAGTCCGGACCACTTCGGCGATGTTCTCATTGGCCAAAAAGTGTGACCACGCCTTCGGGTCGGGCCGCGCGGCTTCCGGATTGGTGGACACGTCGAACACTATTCCCATTAAATCATTTTTGTCGCTTTCAAACTGTTGATCGGTGTCGTAGTAGAGTCGCCACATGGAAATAAAATTTGGCCAAAAATCTATCGGTTTTAATGATAAATATAAAACAAAATTATTTGTACCATAATCATTGGTTTCAATATTAACCAAATATTTTATCAAGCTGTGTGCTTTTTACAAATTTATTGAACACTGTTAATTGCATACATTGCAACATCATAAATAAAAATACTTGGTTTGTGAATCTGTGTTAACTATTGGTTTGATTTATACTAAAATTAATTACAGTTTTAAACTGTATAAAGTGCATGTCGATAAAATACGCGAGTATTAGCATAAACATAATGTTACCAATGATTTCTTGACGAGACATACGGTCGCAGTCAAGTTAAACTTCAAATAAATCGATGACAAAACCGTTGTCAGCGAAAGCCCGGCGCAAGTCATCCAACTGTTGGCCAACGGTTTGACTCCATTGGCGTCTGAGGGGGTCATTGGGCGCCAGTTTGGCGTTAATGTCGATGGAAAGCGGTATATTGACGTGTAGTGAGCCATCCCTGGCCAACAGTAGCCGCCGATAAAGCGCCAACTGTTGGCTTCTGCGCGTCCGCTCGTATTCCAGAAAAAAGTTAGACAATATGAGCCCCACTGAGCCCTCCAGGCGCCGCACCTCTGGGCCCAACGCCGCCCACTCCACAGACATGTCTTGAGTGATGTACTCAATGGTGGGCAGAGTGTTGTGGTCGCGCGCGTACTCTGTCATCGCCGGGTTCACGTCGATAGCGATGAGACGCCGGTGCGGCACACGTGCGGCCAACTCTCTGGTCACCCCTCCGTCGCCCGAACCCATGTCCACAATAATATCGTATAATCTATCAAATAGATATTTGAAAAAAGTTTTGTTTAACTAAAACTTATATATTAGAGTATAACCCATGATATCCTGCCCATAGAAGCCCATGTTAACCATTGAAACCCATGTTATTTCTGATGTCAACCCCCCGTCAATTTTCCTCTCCCTATTCGCGCACTGTTTGACATTCCAGAGCAGGAGGACTGGGTATATAACCACTGCCCGGTCCTCAAGCACTGGCAATTAGATAACTTGACTCTTACTTTAAAGTTACATAACTCTACCATCTGAGCTGTGAGTCTCAGTTGTGAGACTCAGTATTGAAACTAACTTTTTGTATTCTTTTATATGTTTTAACTTAAACTCATTAAATAACTTTACTTTAATTTGTGTCAACTTATTAATAACACATTTAATACACGCGCAGTCTAACGGGAAGTTTCCGGTAAGTACCGGGAGGCGCCGGGAAGTGCCGGGAGGCGCCGGGAAACAGACGGGAAGCGCCGGGAAACAGACGGGAAGTGCCGGGAGATAGTCTCCCAAATGGTAAGTGTATTGTTCCCGGCCGTTACCTATGATGCGCGTGCATTATATTGTAATATGAATGACTGGCCTATATATTGTGGGACATAATGGATAGCAAATTTAAAATAGTCACAGTTATACATACAGGGTGGGTCAAAAGGTGTCTCTTTTTAAAAAGCTAATATCTCGTTAACTAGAAGAGATATTTCATTCAAATTTTTTGCAGAATATACACAAATGTATGGCTCATTTAATCAGGTTTTCAAAATTTTTGACATCCATGGGAATCACGTGGAATAACAATGTTTCGAAAATTGCCACTTTTTGGACAATTATGTCATGTTTTAGAGATCGCCTTTAAAATAGATGAAAACATGTTAAGCACACATTCCATACATCCACTTAAATAGTTTAGCTAAGTGTTTTCCATTTTGAGTTAATAATTTGCAACTGTCGCAATTTTCAAAAAACAATGCGATTGTTATTCTGTATGTCTTGTTTTTAAAAATCGCGCCATTTCTAAA